CATACTGAAAATACAATCAAAGCTTACGTGAAAAAAAATCCTTTTTATGTAGCGAGCGCTGCCTTCCGTCTGCCCATCACTTCCAACAACTTCCTGGATTCCCATTGTGCTTTGTGTCTCTTTCCCTGCTGCTTGATGTGACGCAATCTCCATTTCTCAAGCCTACATTATCCATCATGCATTGCTTCCAGCAAGTCATGATAACGTTACATTGTAGGAAGTTTAGACGCTGAGTTGCTCTTGAGAAGATAGCCTCTGTGAGAGATGTGACAGTATTGCTGCTCACACCACAATGAGAGGAATCATTCAGGGGCCATTATTTCAGGTTCTTTTGGACAGTTTTGAGTATTTTGAATGTTCACCCTAATGTACGCAATTTTAAAGGAGAACTATGGGGGTCAGTGTTTTTCCCCATAGTTCCCCATAGTCCTCCTCCCGTCACCCAAAGCTCAGTATACCACGAGCTACAGCTCGCAGTGTACTGAGACCACCGCAGCCGGGACGGATCCCGACATTACTGTCGAGATCCACCCAGCTGCGTGATTGACAGCTGGCTCTGCCTATCTAGAGGCAGAGCCAGCTGTACCCGCCACCTCACCCGTCCGTTCCGCCAGTTAGGGCTGGAGGATCGGAGCGGGGAGGGGGGAAATCCCTGCAGGGAGCCGTGAGTAACAGTCACGGCTCTCTGCAGGGACAGAATCGAGAAGTGAGCGAGCGACGGTATGCGTTCCCTCACTTCCCGATCTATTGAACAGCATAACAGTTTTATTGTCGCACGTCGGCTCGAACCATGAGGGTGAGTGATTTTCACTCACCTCATAGTTCTCCGTTAAGGCTTGACATATTTGGTATCTATTTACTCAATGTAGTCTTCTCTTTTATGTTTTACCAAAATGGAAACCATATGGTGTTTATGTGCACGCAAATGCATTTTAGCACTTTTTAAAGGTTTAAGCACTTGAACAGTGTTTTATACTGTACCCAACATGTTTTGATATACAAAGCATTATGAATGCAATAGATTTTACAACGATACTAAAAAAGTGTTTGCAGGAACTGACAAATTAACTCGACCTGAACCATAAAAACAATCGGGAAACAACTATACCAGGCAACCCCAACACACCGGCTAGTTTGGAACTACAAGTCACACAAGGCATTGTAAGACTCTAAAAGCCACAGGCTTGACTTCCACAGGCAGAGGCACGAAGGGATTTGTCGTTTCACCACAGCTAGGGTGCCGAAGTTGCCCACCACTTACCTATACTATAAAAATGAACTAACAACTAGCATTCTACAAAACAGCTATAAAGACAAAAGGTCAGACAATCGAATCTTAGCCCTTGTTCACACCTGAACGTTTTGTAGCGCGTTCTACGCTCGACGAACGCTCTACAAAACGCTCAAACATCTAAATCCCATTGTATTCAATGGGTCTCGTTCCCACCTTGGCGTATTTCAGCCCGTCCCTAACGCGCTACAAAATGGCCCACGCCTGAAAAGGTACAGGTACTACTTTGGGCCGTTTTTGTTGCGCGTTTCCATTGGGATACAGCCAAGTAGCCTTCGGAAACGCGCGTTTGTCGCGTGATTTTTTTACCGCGAATCGGGGTAAAAAAAACGCGCGACAGACGCGCATATGCAATACGCCTAGGTGTGAACCAGGGCTTACTCCAAATCTCCTAAGAGATTCAGTCAGAGGCAGCAATACCTTATATCAGGCCTTCCTTAAACTTTTTCCACTCATGACCCCTTTTCGCATGAGGAAATTATTACCTGACCCCGGGTATATAGTCATATAACACAGGCATACAAATCAAACATTTACTGATAATAAATCATAAAGAAATGCAATGTAAAACAATTCTTTGGTATACATATCATTTTTACCATTTATTAAAGATGAAAGAAAATTTGCATACTAATGAGATGAAATGGATTTTTTTCACAAGGTTTCAAAGACTTTGCCAGAAACTGTAAGCAAGAGCAGAGCTTAGGTTGGACACAGAGCCTGATGATTCTGTCCCGACGACCTGGGCAAGGATTGGACAGTCACAGTTTACAATTTAAAAAATGACCTTTAAAGCCCAACTACTGGGAAAACTTTTTTTTTTTGCTCTAGAGAATATGAGGAATGGCTAGAAGAGCCTCTGTGTTGTGTTCCCCTGCTAACCCAGCCCCAGAGTAGACATCTGCTTACCACTTCAGCAGCCTCCGCTCCCGACCGAGTCCTGCCTTGCTCTGCAGTGCTTCAGCCCGCTAAAAGGCAAGCTCCACCCTCCCCATACCCAGGAAGGTACCAATACCACCAATTGTACAGGGGAGGGGGGCTCGGGGCTGGGACCGTACCAGGTTACAACCCTAGCTCTGTGTCCGGTAAACCACGGCAGATCCCGCAAGTGCCACTTATGGACACCTTGCCGATCCCTGCCGGGGATTTGTGTTTTTCTTCTGGACCCCCCACATTCAGTTGCAAGACCCCATATAGGGTTGCGACCCACACTTTAAGTAGGCCTGCCTTAGATGATCACACACTGCAGATGCACAGCTATGAGGCTGTAGGCAGAGCTGTCAGTCAGTTCAGATCATGTCAATAACATCCAAATGGTGCCAAATTTGCATTTCTTTGTTCCCCGTGTGCCTTGTATTACAGTTTGTGGATTACTATGTTGGGTAGCGTATCGAGTAATGTTACTTATAGCAATACTAAAGGTAATAACACAAAAACTGCATGCAGGCAGGCTCCTAATTGCACAATAGATATGCTCTCCTCTGCAATAAAGCATCAATCACTGGAGCCTTTTTTTTTTTTATCCGATTAACCAATTAATCGAACTTAATAATCGGCCAACTAATCGATTATGAAAATAATCGTTAGCTGCAGCCCTACACTGCTGCCTCTGACTGCTAGTCTCAGCAGATTTGGTGAGATCGCTACTGTGCTGCTCACTGTTCTCTTTGCTGGAGGATCTGACATGAGAAAGCAAAGCCCTGGCTCTACCAAGATGGCTGCCTTCGAGGCATTGTAAGAAATAGGGGAAAAGATCAACTGCAGAGAGTCCGAGGGCAATAGCAGTGATTAGTCTTTTGCCCTCTACTTGCCTTTTTTTGGGCACAGCTTTCAGAGTTTATTTACTCTTTGAAGGCTAATTCCACCTTTTCCGGTTATACCTATATTTAGGGTGTAACATGGTGTCACTCTGCAGCCCCCCCACCCCCACCCCCTCAAACTGCCCCCTCTCACCTAAGTCACAGGGGTTCTTGTCCCCGCAACAATCTGTATATTTTTTTATTTGGTGCAGCTGTGCCTGGCTCAGCTTGCACACCCGTGTCATCCATTCAAATATCCACTGCGGCAGGGGGACTCGTAGTTCTCAATGGCCTACAAGTGCATTTAGGTCACCACACTTGCAGTCCATTGGTTACTTTTAGATTGTAAGCCCTCAGGGGCAGGGCCCTCCTTACCATCTTGTCTTGAATTGTATTGTAACTGTAATGTCTTCCTTATATTGTAAAGTGCTGCGCAAACAGTTGGCGCTATATAAATACTATGTAATAATAATAATACTTCCTCCAGCTGCATAACCGAAGGTCTGCACTTCAGTACAGACCTGGGGGAAGAGTCTGCAGAAAGTCAAGTGGTCCATCAAGTCTGCTCCTAGAGTCAAGTGATCCATCCATCCAATTCCCCCCCCACACCCGCCCCGAGTCAAGTGGTCAATTGAGTCCGCCCCTAAAGTTGAGTGATCCATTTAGCCTGCCCCTAGAGTCGATTGATGCATCACGTTCATCCCGAGAGTCAAATGGTACATCGAGTCCACCCCCTAGAGTCAAGTGTTCCATCGAGTCTACCCCTAGAGTCAAGTGTTCCATCGAGTCTACCCCTAGAGTCAAGTGGTCCATCGAATCCACCCCCCTAGATTCAAGTGACCAATTGAGTCCACCCCTAGAGTGGAGTGGTCCATCAAGTCTGTTCCTAGGTTCGAGTAATCTGTCGAGCCCATCCCCTAGAGTCAAGAGGTCCATCAAGTCCACCCCCTAGAGTTAAATGGTCTATTGAGTCCACCCCCTAGATTGAAGTGGTCCATCGAGTGCACCCCCTAGAGTTGAGTGATCCCTTGAGTCTACCCCTAGAGTCGAGTGGTCCATGGAGTCTGCCCCTAGAGTTGAGTGGTCCATTCAGTTCCCCCCTATGATCCACTGATGGCAGTTGCAATGCTTTGCAACCTTTTTTTCCCCCTAAGGTGGACTATGGCTTTAAGGTGTACACTTAGGCAGATTCTACTTTTAAACCTGTCCTCCCTAATGAGTTTTATTTATTAAGGGAACTAAGGTTTATGCTTGGGTGCACTACAAAATAAAGGTGTTTCTGTCCAGTAAGCCCAGAGAAGAATACTGAAAAATGTCACTGTTATGCCACTTCTAGCCAAAAATTACAATTATGATATTACAGTTCACATTACACTTAAAGTCACATGGTGCAGATAATCGAAATCTTATATATATTTGCCATAAAGATTAAAATGAAAACAACTAGCGCACTTTCTTGCTTCAGTTTCACATTTAAAGTTGAAGAGTGTTTACTAAATTTGGCATGCATGAAACTGCCCTGTAGTCGTTCTGCTGCTTGCTACGTACTGAGCTTGTGCTAGTGGAGTACAATCGAAACAAGCCTCTTCCAATTCTCTGCTGTAAGTTTGGCAGCCCTGAGATTCCAGCACTTTTCTCCCACTCCCTTGTCGAGTAATCAAAGCCTTAGAAGCTCACAAAATTCCCCAAATGACCGGCTAAAAGTCATATACATGTTGTAGCACGCAAAGGTCGTCCCCATTTTTTAATTTTAAGAAAGGCGTTGCACAACAGCGTCAGTTTCTTCCGTATCCATCACAGCAAAGGCTTGAAGAACCAAGCTGACAGGCCTAAATCTCTCCTTGAGACCTTACGGGCCCTCAGTCACACATCTTAAAAGAGAAACAAAACACAAAACAACAAAGGCTTACTTGTCTTAAGTCGATGAAGGCCAATTGCAGTGTGTCCCCTTGGAACCCAGGCACTGGTCCGGATTTGGCAAAACCTGTGGGAAAGAAAAGGCCATGAAAAGCGCTTTTAAACAACCATGGACAGGAAGATTGGCAGACGGATGACAGCGAGGACAAGGGAGGCTGGGGGAGAGGAGGAACGGGCTTCTAAGGAGCCATGTCTCCAGGCCTTCACGCTCTTTGTCTGCTCTTCAAAATTTGTGTCATCAAAACGCCATTAATTCCAGCGTCCTGACAGCGAAAAAAACTGTACTAACTCAACCTGAAATCTATTCCCATGGACCGCTCCGAGTTACGTGCTATTTGTTGGGTCAACTGAAGAAAAAAAAAAAAAAAAGGGATTGCTGGGGGGGGGGGTGGCATTGTCTGGGATCGAAGAATAAAGAAAGAAAAAGAACGGAAAAAAAAAAATGTAAAAGTTTTTGTTTTTCCCGTCTCTCTTTTCCTCGCCATCTTCCACAATAAAATCTTCGGCTGTGAGACGAAACAAAACAAAAAAAGTTCCTTTTGCTTACTGCAGGTCGCTGAAAGAGTTTTCCCGATTTCATGCCTGTCACCTCGACCCTTGAGTGTTGATCAATAATAAATAACTGTCTAAAGCATCAGGGGGGAACATATACTTCCATTATCTGTTATGGTGCATTAGGTGCTGGGCTCCCGTACTCAGCGGCCCTATTGACTCGAGGACTGGGAGTCTCTCTAAGAGGATTACATGGTCTCTGCTGTAATATTATGGGCAGTGGGGATAAAAGGGGCACTCTATGCATAGTACAGTGTGATGTCCTCTGAGACCCAGCACCGTGCCGCCTTCTCATCGCATTCCCCCGGGTGAGAAACTTGACAGCGTCCGTCCGGGCGATGCGGCGCAGACGCGCATTTTCTGGGGTTTAGGAGTCACTTCTTAGCGTCTGTAAACACAGCGAGAATTAGTGCTGCCATTTGATTGGCGCCGCCGAGCCGGTTACAAAGGCCTTGTTCCTTGGCTCTACGCCTGATCCGTCAATTCAATCGGTTCCCGGAGCTCTGATGAGGCAGGACAATGGATGGGAAGTGTACACAGGTGTCGGACGGGGGAAACCGATTCATGCGCCGAGAGGAAATGTCTACATCGCACTGTACTATACGCATCAATGAGACCCGTAGACGTGGCATATTAACACGCCTCTCAATCTTGGCACAAATGGCAACCGTGCCAGTACATACCAGAAGAACTGAAGGTCTGTTACGATATCTGCTGAGCGTAAACCTGATATATACATAGCAGAGAGAAGCAGGCCATATGTGGCTCCAACTTCTGCTAAATTTACCAAATTTCAAACTCTCGGTGGCCCTGTAAGCACCACATTGCTTGACAAAAGTCAACTTAAAAATGGACCGAGTCGGTTGGAAAATGATCCGCTTAAAGGGGTTCTAAACCCTCCGTTTTTTTTGCCTATATCTACTGCTAGCAAGCAGTAGATCTAGGCAAGAAGTTTAAAAAAAAACAAAACCCGCTTTGACTAGTTTTAAACTTACCTCGTTATCGCTGCTCGCTCCAGCGCCGAGAATCAGGAAGCGATCGTACGGCCGCAAAGGATCTTGGGGCGGGCGCATGCGCAGTTCCGATTCTCGGCCGGGAGACGAGCAGAGACGCAAGGTAAGTCTATGGACGCGTGCACCCGCATGCAGACACCGTGGGACAGGAAGTACCAGCATGGACAGAGGAGTCAGCGCTGTATCGGAGACCCACAGCAGCGCTGGAGAGAAGGCTGAAAAGGACAGGAAAGAAGAAGAAGATCGGATTAAGAGACATCATTTAAGGTAAGTGTTGACATTAACATTGGGGGGAGGGGAAAAAAGTTTTTGACTTTAATGTCACTTTAAGCAAATATCGCTCGGGTGACAAACATCGCCACATGTGCTGCGGCTGCCTCAATACAATAGCTGGCAGTGGAGGTTCCTCCATCCATATCTAGCGTAGATGTCGGAATCAACTACTTTTCCCTCATCCAGCCCCCCGTGTATGGCTAGCTATAGAGAGGAAGACAGAGAGTGAGAGTCAGGGATCGGGATATAGAGATATTTCATACATAATTGTTACATAAACTATTGTAATTTATATTTTAAAGTGACATTAAAGGCAAAATATGTTTCCCTCTGTGGAAGTCGGTTGAATTACAAGCAGCCTGTGCATGGAATGTGGCATTCCCAGACATCATCATAAGATCGTTGCAATGGGAGTTTAGTCTTTATTGAGAGACTTAAAGGAGAACTATGAGGTGAGTGAAAATCACTCATCCTCATAGTTCGAGCCGACCTGTGACAAGGAACCGGTCACCCCGTTACATACTCTCCCAATGGCAGTTTCAAAAGCACATTGTACAGGTTTGGTCCTATGTTGTCACCATCAGGAAACACACCCTGAGAATGTCATGCAGCCATCGGTGCTGTGCATGCAGACATGAAGTGGCTGCAAAGAGGCTGCGTGTGATCAGCAGCTCCTAAATGCAGTGGATGAAAGAAGGTGGCAAGTATTTTACTTATTTTAGAATTAAATGGCGGTTGTTTATGGCACACAACCATTGGGCATCACTATAAGGAAGCAGAATCTGCCTATGTAATGACTAAATATGGTTGCCCCCGTGCTAACATTACAAAGCATACAAGACACAACCACACAGGGATAAGATTATACGCAGCATTCTGCTCTCTATCACAATCAGCGAGCTGCTCCCTTGGCAGACATTGCCCCATGGTCAGAGCCGCTTCAAGGACATCCGAAAAGGGATCGTACAGCTGGACTCAATGGGCCACTGGCCCTTTTCACCGTCTGCATAATAGATGGACTTCCCCTTTAATAACCCCCCTCCCAGCAAGGCTGCAGTCTGTAAATCTTTAAACAAGTAGATTACAAGACAGAAGCTGCCAGACAACAAAACCTGCTGCTTCCCACAGGAAAAGAAATCAGAGTTTTATCCGGGGCTCCTATTCAGCGCTGCCTGCATGCCTGACAGTGACAGATGGACAGCAATCCGTCATCCTCCCTGGGATGAGTGTGGCAGTGCAGGTCTTGGCTGGGCGGCAGAGGTCAGGCCCCATGCTGGTCAGGTTGTCGGCACCTGCTCTTTAGTGTCTCTGGCCTGGACTAACATTTTTACAAGCGTCTAATTAGAGGTCTTTAATCCAGCTGAGGCAGGTCCCCCTAGCTCCATCCTGTGTCACTGTGGCATGTGCCCCTAGCTCCCTCCAGTACTGCTGTAGCAAGTTCCCCTAGATCCATCCTGTGTCAATCTAGCAAGTTCCCCTAGCTCCATCCTGTGTCACTGTAGCAGG